CGTGAGGAGGAGTAAAGGAAATACGTGCGTATGAACCGGGGAAGCGCAATGTGACACGAAGATCAGCTGTGCGCCTTGTGTGTAGAGATCCATGCGCCTTAGAAGGAGTAAAGAAAAGAAGTGTGTATGGACCGAGGAAGCGCAATGTGAAATGAAGACCAGTTGTGCGCCTTGCGTGTAGAGGTCCATGCGCCTCCGAAGGAGGAGTAAAGGAATGAAGTGCGTACGGATCAAGGAAGTGTAACGTGGCTCAAACAGTTGGCGCGCGAGATACGGGAATATAACCGAGAGCGTGACGAAAGGATGCATGGAGATGGCCGGTGTAAAGAAGGGGGAAACGGATCGCGAACATCCGGAAGCATCGGGAGAGAAATCTGTAACGTTTGGGATGAAGCAAGGGGAGGAGGAGCATGTGACCAATGAGCCCACTTGTTCAGGGGGCACCTCGCTCACCAAGAAGGATTTGAAATTGGTTATCGAAGATCAAGATCAAGCGCTAGACGTACTAAAAAAAGAATAAGGGAGATTGAGGTGCTAAAAAGAGGGGTTGTTGCCACATCCCTCAGGATACGAAAGGATGGGTAGGGAAGACGATGTAGAAGGAGCGTCAAGGGCAGGGAGGCGTGTAGACACAATGGCACAGCTGACCAGACGCTTAGCATTTGATTATGAAGAGCACAACGGGGGCGCATATGCACACCAAGAGGAATTAGGGCGTATGAAAATCTTTGCTAGATGGGATTGAAGATCTTTGTCTTGCCTTCTTGATGAAGTATCGATCACACCCTTGACAACTCCAATTACTCCATACTAGCTCCTTTGTTGTCTACTTGGTCTCATCTTGTTACCTAGCCCCCTCATCATATTGTTATCCATGTCTTGCTAGCATCTCAATGAGTTATTCGACCTTGTTATCCACCAGTGCTTCATACTTAGTCTTGGAGAGCTAGTCATGGTGCTAACTTGTCATCTAGCAAGCATGTCTTCTCGACTTCATACCTTAATTCCTTTTACAAGCTTTTCATGAAGGTTGTCTTGTCAGGCTGGCTTGTCAACTTGTCAACAAGTTAATCTCTTCGACTTGGTACATGTTCCATTCCATACTTAGTTTTATGAAGGTTTGGTAACTTTATACCACATTGCCTTAGTCAGTACCCGACCCTGTTAATGCGAGGAATCCTCGCATTGACTGGGTATGGGGCGGGTATGGGTAAAACCCGCAAAATATTTGATGGGTATGGGGCTTGTATGATTTTAGCCTCCCCTTCCCATATCCATGCCCGCCCCATCAAGAGCATTTCTTGATTAGCCAGCCAAACCAAAAGTTAATTCCTTTTCCTCAACTCTCTCTTCGCTCTTTCATTTTCCCCCTATTGTTAACAAGTTGGTGTTAGTTAGTTAGTTAGTTATTAATTAGTATATGTATGAGAGTCATAGAATAATCATTTAGATTACATTGTGCTCTATCTTATTGATTAATAGATATTTTAGCATAAGATGCTTTGAACCGTAGTGTCTCTCTGTCGACTTCATGATATAGTAGGTGCGTTTAATGTTGTAATTGAAAATTTACATGTAAATTTTAGGTATTATAATGTTGGATGTACGGGGCGGGTATTACCCATGGGTACCCGAAACCCAGAGGCATGAGGATGGTTTGCAAAACCTTTCTTGCATGGATATGTGGCGGATATGAGTTTGGATATTTGAAAATGGGGATGGTTTAAGCAAACTCGCCCCATTACCAGCCCTATTACCATCCCTTCTTTGTAGGATACTTTTGGAAGGAAAAAAAAATCAAATAATTCTATCTTCATATATTAAATTCTTTTAACTTTTGATGGGATTTTCAGTTCCCAAATTTTAGCCATATGAAATTCAATTTCTATTCATTTTTTATTTGGAACACAAAATTTGAAACCGGGACGGGAATCTACCGATTTCCAGATTTTTTCCTTTCTTCTTACCTACAGTATAACCTATTTAAATTAGTAATCGATAAGTTAATAATAAGATAATAATTTTTGAGAACCAACTTACATGAATAATTGTAAAAATACAATTCATCTATAAAATTATAATATAGCTAGGATAACCTAGAAAAATATGAATATATAGTTGTTTGTTTATTCTTGAATTTCAAGTCTAATAGATCGGTCATGGTGGACTTTTAGACTCCTTTCAAATGAGAGTCCATTGTTGAATACGATTTTTACAATGTTTCTGTAGTACTATTTATAGTGATCGGGTCACCATATATTCAATAAATTATATTAAATGTATGATCAATGAATATAGGGTTGCAAGTAATTTTAAACATGAATCTAGATCATCTACAATAATACATCGGATACATTTATCTAGGAAGAATCCATACTTTTTCTATTAAATTTTAGTACAATGAATACGTAGAATGAGATAAGTTATCATATGAACTTGAAATATTTGGAAGATAAGATAAACATACATCATAAGATTTTTTTAAATTATTAATTATTAATTTATCTGTTAATTAATAACTACTATAAATTAATAATTTTTACGATCCCGGATACATTAATTTATATAGGTTATACTAGGGATGACAACAAAACCCGAACTCATGGGTACCCTATCCGAACCAATCCGGTCAACACGAGTAAAACCCGTGTTGACGGGTTTCGGGCTGGGTTCGGGTTTAAACCCGTATACTATTCACTGGGGTTGAGTTTGGGTTTAGATATACCCGACCCATGGATACCCATCTACACTTATTTCGTTGCCCTATTCTCCCCAAACCCTATCCTAATTCTAATTTCCCTCAATCTAACTCTCACTACACTTATTCTTTGTGCTTTTATTTAGTGTAATTGTGATATGTTTGAATTTTCTAGACTGGTTCTTTATGTATGGATATTTGTATGGGGAAATTGATGTTCGAATTTTATTTTGATAGAACTTGTTATTGCAAATTTTTTACCACAAAAACCCATGGGTACCCATGAACCCGCGGATACCCAGCGGGTTTAGTTGAGTTTAAGTTTTCCAAACTCATGATAATACGACCCTGGTGGGTGTATTTTTATCAAAGTCACGCAGCAAACAATCAATCCGGAGATTGATTGAAAATCGAATCAAGAACAACGTATTCTTAATACGAAAATTGGATAAAACGGAAGCGAAAGGGAATTCTTACACCTGGAAGAATGCACAATCGTTATGGTGAAGCTTTCGATATAATCGAGTGTGATTTCTAGATCAATAAGCAGGTCAGCAAGTTTTGATCACAACCAAAACCCAAGAACAAGTTCGCCAGCTTGAACAAACCAAAACGATTTCTTTTTCGATTAATCAACAAAGTCTGTATTTTTACAACGAATATAGAAGGCTATTTTATAGCCAAGAAAACCTAATACAAACCTAAATGAACAAGGAAACAAATAAGGTAAACTTCTACTCTAAAAAGGACACAATATTCGGGTTTAAACTCCCTTTCTTGAAGCACAAGCAAGCTGTCAGCAAACAGCCCAAAAATAGCTTTCGTACTAACTTTACGTCTTTCGTTTGAGGCCTTGCAGAACTCCAATTCTTCATCCAATTCCTTCCCTTTGTTCACAAACATACCTAGTTTCACGTCGTGGAAGCCTTTTGACTTGAATCCCATCCATGCTCCTTGAATTGAGCTCCAAATTAGGCTTCACAAAACAGTTTTCTGCCTTAGCCATTTTCTGGCAGTTTTCCAGTTTTGAGGTAGCAACTTTGAGACCTTGGAAAACAACCTTAATTACATCTTCTAGATCCAAAAAGCATTCCATTAGAAACATGGCAACTTTATATGTAAAACAAGCCCTTGATCGCCAATTTTCATTGAGCCATTTGAAAGATACAAGCTTCCAAAGTAGGCTATCTGAAACTGTTTCAACGCTTAGCCCAAAATCAGAATGTTTCAAGTTAGTTGAGATGACTTCTTTGGCAAGTAATTGTGAATTTTGGTTCTTAAGCTGCATGAGAATCTCAATTCACATCCAGCGGGGGAAAAAAATCACAATTCACTACAAAAAATAACTTGCAATTGTGTACTTGTACCACTATTCCACGTTGGCAATTATGAATATAACAAAATAAATATTTTATGCCTTCTTCTCTCAGTCAGTTACTGTGTTATCTCATTCCGTATTTCCGCAAGTGGAAACTGTTCAGTCAAACGGAAATTATTGGAGCCTCGGCGTCACTCTCATCAAATGCTGACGCATAAAATGACGTTTTCCAATCTAGCTTCTTGTTTTCTTTTTAATTTTTTCCAGTTATCCTGTGATGTGTATATATTGGCAAAATTGTAATGAAAGGAAAAAAATAAATTAAATTCAGAAGTAACTATTTGATAATTTTTTTTTTTGTTTCTGCCCACGGAGTAAAGATTGTTGACTTACTAGCAGTTAAACGCGTTGAAAGTCCAAATTAACGATCAACAAATTGATCGAGCCAAATTAACAGTGGGATCAAGCAATTGTCACCTCTTGAAATTCCCAACCCCAACCTTTAGATTTGCTCCCCTGCCATAAATATTGATTATTGAGTACACATAACTTGAAGCATATATAGTACAAAATTGGGTGGGGTTTATGAAGAATGGGAGGGGAATGAATAGGGGATTTGAGGCTGAGAATAGAAAACATAATACACATCAGCACCTAAATGTTAGTTTTGCCAAACTAACTCTTGGCTGGGGATCCATCTTATTTCTGCCTTTCTATTTGTGCCCTCCTTAACTTGGTCCATCTCTCTCGTTTTGGTACATTCCTAAAATGATTGGTTGCACTACAACTATGCGGTCGTTTGGGGATTGAGTGGTGCCCGTACATATCTTCATCTCCCCAATTCACATATGTCAAGATGCTAGCTTGATGAATTCTCATATATGTGTTGATTCACGGTCCAACTCATAGTCACGATCAGTGTGAAATAGATGGTCACTTAAAAGTTCAAATGATAAAATATGCATCTAAGAAAATGATACGATCGGGATATACCGCTCGCATTAAAGAGAGAAAGAGAAGCCAAATAAATATGAGATGAATATACTACTGCTCCCATTGGTAGTCATATGTGGCTGATTAAGAGCTCAAATTAGTGCTTATAGTATGATCCATTGAGTAAAATTCGAGAGCCAAGTCAACGTTGGTAGATAAAAAAAAACATATTGGAAAACTTTGGGTATTAAAATGATCTTAAATAAACTTCACCCATCCTCCGCTCGCGTGGGTCCCATGTCGGCACAGACGAATGACGTCTCTCTTTCCTAAGATATATTATCCAGCTGGTCTCCCCAAAATCTTTACCTGGCCATCCTTCCTCCACGTGTCCTTCTCCCTCCCCAATTTAATTGCAATTTTCCCACCCTCCTCTCCTTCCCATTTTCTCGCGCAACCACCAATTTTCTCGCTCGATTTTTTTTCCCCTCCCTCCGATCAGACAGCTCGTGCGGCGAACCCAAAACTAAAAAAGATCGAAACTGTTTCCACTTCCCCAGCTGCTTCAATGGGAACCCAAATTGAAATCTTCAAGGCGACTTCCATGGCGGCCGCAGCAGCATCGGCCGTCGTCGGCGGCGGGTGGGGTGCCATGTCAGCAAAGCGCTGCGACAGCTGCAAGACGGCGGACGCGACGGCCTTTAGCCGCGCTGATTCGGCCTTCCTCTGCCTCCCCTGCGACGGAAGGATCCACTATGGGAGTAGTAATGGCAGTAATAACAATAAGCCCGTGTCCAGACACCAGCGGGTTTTGATGTGCGATGTCTGCGAGCAGGCTCCGGCCGCCGTCACCTGCAAAGCCGATGCTGCATCGCTCTGCGTCACCTGTGATTTGGATATCCATACGGCGAATCCGGTCGCACGCCGCCACGAGCGCGTTCCAATCGAGCCGTTCGTCGACTCTGTTTCCGGCGAGGTTGGAAACAGAGCATACTCTTCCGGATTCGGTATCATGGTTCCGAAGGGAAATGAAGGTGGGAACGGTGGCGGAGGTGGGTGTGACTACGACCATGAGGCGGACGGAGTTTCCTGGATGCTTCCCGGCGGCATCGTCGGCGCCGGATGTGGGTTAATTCCTCAACTGAATCAGAAACTTGGGGAGCGCGGGAAGTTCTCCGGAGGTCAGTTTTTCGGGGAGATGGATGAGCTTTTGGAATTTGAGTATGGAAACCCTTTGGATGGGAGGTTTCAGCCGAGCTACAGCTGTGGTTCCGATGGAGTTGTGCCAGTGCAGAGCAAGCCGCTTCCACTGCAACTGCCGGCGACTACTCTAGGCCATCCGATTCTATTGACGGGCCATGAAATTGGGCTGGAATTTGATTTCTCTGGGTCGAAGCTCTCTTCTTTCAGCTACCCAACTCAAAGCTCCCTTAGCAATAGTGTAAGTTCCCTCTGCTTCTTTTTTTTCGTTGAATTTTCCCTCTGCTTCTTTAAAAAACAGAGGAATGACGTCAGTTCTGTTACTGTTTGATTGCAATTCAAGGGTAATATGCTACTTCAATTGATTGTGATGATTAAAGTAGTACAAAACTATGAGTAAGTTTTGGATCAAATGGAAATTTGAATTCAATATTGATCGATTTTGAATTGAAAAGTGAGGCTTTGATCTCAACGTTTGGGGGTCTTGAACAAAGTTCTGTTAGCAATACTGCAAATAGTGTATGTATATTGGCTCGACTACAATTCAAGGATTCAACGCATCAATTCATCGTCAGAATCTGAATAAATGTCAGACCAGAATTTTTTTTGCTACTTTGGTTTGTTCTGTATCTCAAAGTTTGGTTCTTTCCTCAATTTTCAGGTTTCATCATCCTCCCATGATGCCGGAATCGTGCCAGACGGGAGCTCGAACTCCATGTCCGAGATTTCGTTCTCTTTCGACCATCCGAATGTGCCCATCTCGAGCGCTCCAACTACTGCGAACCCGAATCATCACCAGCAAGCTCCCGCCGCCCAGCAGCTCTGCGGGCGGGACAGAGAAGCCAGGGTGATGAGGTACAGGGAGAAGAGGAAGAACCGGAAGTTCGAGAAGACGATTCGCTACGCGTCTCGCAAAGCGTATGCCGAAACCAGGCCGAGGATCAAAGGCCGGTTCGCCAAGCGTTCGGAGAACAACACCATGGAACCAGATTTCGAGAGCTGCCTCTACGGCTCTGCTGCTGTTGCTGCTGCTGCTGCATCTCTCTCTTTCCTCGGCGACATTGATAGCCCGTTCGACCTCGTTCCATCATTTAGATGATGATGGATTGGTTAATGGCGATAGATGAAAGGGAGTATATAATTACTAATCTCCCGATGCATACATAATCCTTTCACAGTGTTGATTGCTAGTGTGGTGTAATTGGTTCAAAGACTAGAGATGATGCGCTTCTTTTTAGTTTTCACATTACTCCCAACTCTTAAAGCTTCCCGTTTAGAGGGGCAATGAGTGACTCTGAGGTCGTGTAGCGAAGGAGGACTCCGGTGGCACTAACAAATCTATAAGGAGTGAATTTTTTCCCCCTTTTCCAAAATGCATGAGTTATTAAATAAATCTCTCATTTATACATAAAAAATTTCCATAATACACAAGTTTGTCGGTCGCCGAACATTTCAGCGATTTTGTAATGCGGGACGTGGATGAAAGCAACGATCAACAAAACTTGTCACAACGATCTTTTTAGTTTGAATGTACCTCTGATTCTGACGATCATTCTCTGGTGGCTCAAACGATTCTCCGACGAACCCCGTCGATCAACACACGGCTCTTCCTGTGAAAAATAAAAATAAAACTAGACTGGTGTGAAGAGTATGAGTGAGGAGGCAGTTCAGTTCTATAAGAATCTATTAGGGACAAGGAATACTGAAGTTCACAAGGCAGCCAGTGAATTGTTATCTCAATTGCTGGTTCACAAACTCACCCCTGAACAGGCAGACCCCTTATGTGCTCTAGTTACTAGAGAGGAAGCCAGATTAGCAATGTTTTATGTGCACGAAGATAAATCTCCTGGTTCAGATGGCTTCACAGCTAGATTCTATCAGCATAATTGGGAGATTTTGGGTGAGGATGTCACTAAGGCAGTTTTGGATTTCTTCAGATCAGGGAAGTTGCTCTCTGAGGTAAATTCTACCTATCTAGCTATTATCCCCAAAGTGCTGAATGTTGAGTGTATGAAACAGTACATACCAATTTCTTGTTGCAACATTTTGTATAAATGTGTAGCTAAAGTCCTTGCAAATAGATTAAAGGAAGCTTTGCCCCTAGTTATAAGTCAGAATCAGTCAGCTTTTATTAATGGAAGATTAATCAGTGATAATGTTTTGTTGCCGCATGAGATGGTCAGGCTTTATAACAGGAAAACTATATCTCCAAGGTGTGCTCTTAAAGTGGATGTTATGAAAGCTTTTGATAGTGTGGACTGGGTTTATCTTGAAACTGTCGTGACAGCAATGGAGTTTCCAACTCAGTTTATCAAATGGATTAGAATCTGTTTGCATAGTACTAAACCTAGTATGTGTTTTAATGGAGGACTCTGTGGGTACTTTTCTGCCAAGAAAGGGTTGAGACAAGGGGACCCTCTGTCCCCTTATCTCTTTACTATTGCTATGGAGACCTTGTCTTGCATGCTTAACAGGGCATATGCCACTAAATCATTTAGGGAAACTGAAATAAACAAATTGAATAGTATAAGGATTTGGGGATTTTGGAACAACTTACACCATTCTCGCACACCCTCCTCCTATAGTAGATGACATGCAGCTTTAGGGTGTTATTGTTACTAAAATCGCTGTCCTCATAAACGTAGTCGTATTCGTCGTCGTATTCTTCTTTCATCTCCATCTTGTCAAGTTCCTAACACTTTTCGCAGTAGGTACCATTGTAGTATGTCAACTTAGGCAATTCTTCATCATCGGAGGAAGCCATGGGATCCAATCGATTATCGATGGACGAAGACGAGGGCTCGCTTACTCTTTTCTACTATATTCTATTCTAGGGGTTTTGATTTTGATTTTGGGAAACCCTCGAGGATGAAGGACATGGTCCTTTGACCATGGTAGTTCCAAAATCTAGCCCATCGTAAGAGATCAACTTCGGGTCATATGAATGGGTTGAGATTCCTGTTTTTTCTTTACCTTCGCCAAGTAAATAATTAGTCAAAACAAGTAGTTAGTTTCATCTAAATGATCATGTATACTAATTCCTTAAAGATAATGCATTTCTTCTATTATGATGCTCTATCTTCTCCACTAATATATTCCTAATTGAGATTTCATCACATGCAAAAGAAATTAACATGAGTTAATGTAACACCCTACCCTGTACGTATTACCTAATCATATTGTTCATACAATTGCAGCGGAATTTATCTCGGGTGTTACATTAATTATCAAAATTTACCCAAATAAAATTTTGACATGAATTACTCGCGTAATGGGCTAACAGTTCTTGCAACTTATCCTGCAAAATCATTCATCACAAACATATATACTCACAACCATATGAATTGGCTTTTCATAGCCATAGTCACACTTTCGTACTCTGCAACTACATACCATACTTATACAAGTCATAATCGTCACGACTTACACCACCACACACATATACACATATAATCAACTTTCCACACCTGTGGATATCTCACAATACATCAAAAGGAAATATGCACATGAAAATGTTCTGAAAACATTTTATACAAAAAGGTGTGGATCACTGGCCAAAACCCCAAGTAGTAGACCAAGCACAGAATAGTTGAAGACCATACCTCATCCTGGCTTCAACTCTAGCTCCTCTCCCACCTAACACTTATCTACTGCTGCTGCTGATGATCTGCTTACACATAGCATAAGCAGAGAAGAAGAATAAAAGAGGGTCAGCTCATAGCTGAGTGAGATAATCATAGCATCGTGAGTTCATAACATAGCATACCACTACCATACATCTAACAGACAAGCCAAAGCACTAGGATTGGATCTCAGCCCTCCGACATCCCAATAGGCAAAAGACTCAATCACCTTGACTTATGCATATGCATCTTATCATGTTTTACTTATAGGCGCCTGGCTACTCCCATGCTAATAACTCTCCCGGGAAACATACCCCACATCCCGTCGGATGTAGTCATACATACCCCAACATCCCGTCGGATGTGGTCATACATACCCCACACCACTATGGGTGTAGTCATACCCCGACACCGCTCTGGGTGTGGTCATATCTCGTAAGAATTCTTCAGTCACCACCACATGAGAGGTGTGACTATCATACATATCATAATAGAGTAATAGCATAGGGAGCCCTAATTACTATGTAGTTGACCGTGAGACCACAACACTCATATTTGGTATCCTTATACATGATTCATATCTCATCTTGCTTAATCATAATTCGTTACTTCAACATGTACTTGACCTGACCATAATTGGCTCAACATAGGTAAATCAGGAGTCGTATAGTGGCACTTCCTCGGGATAAACCCTCGTGCAAGTCATCCTCCTTAAAACATCATAATATCACCAGGGAATATATATTTTCCCACTTGTGCATCCAAATACAACAATCATGAAAAATCATACCTAATCACCTTCTCGAACCATCGTAAAGCATATTAACAGTCAAGCCCACAATTTGCAACATATACACAATCATCAGCATAAACAAGGTTCATATCGATTAGGGCAAGTCAATAATATCATACAGCAATCCAGGGTTCAACATATAGCACAAAAGTTCATACACCCCTAATCATGCCATTCTAGTTCACCTAGATCAATTCTAAGCATCAATATAATCATCATGATACGACAAACCCGGTATGCCGTGCTAATCCCTCACCAGTTCTGGTCGTTCAAACACCGGTTCTAGCCTCCCGTACTAAAACGTCAATTTCACGAACGAACCCCGAATTAAAATCCGAGACCGTCCTAATATCCCCTGCAGTATCCCCGTCAATATTAGTTCTAGGCTCTGGGTCAAATTCTTGATAAAAACACATCAAACCCTGGCCGGAGCTAAATTCAGCGATCCCGGCTCCGACCTAAATAATAGCCGAAATTCAGGAATTAGAACTAGAGGATTGATTACCTCGCTGCAGGAAGCTCGTATATGAAATTTGGGCTCAATCCGGCTTCCGGATACTCCGAAACCCTAATTTGGCTTATCGGAAATTCAAGAAATTCCTGAACCAAAATCTCGTTTTAAAGCTCTAAATCGATAAATCACGATGAATGGATGGATTAGGCATTACTTACGGGATTTTTGGATCACTAGGGCTCAAGATTGGAGCTTTGGAATTTTTCCACAGTCGCTCCCTGCACTTCGCTCGCTCTGCTTCTCTCTCGGTCCGAAATGGAAAAAATGACGATGGTGATGAGAATAAAAGGGACGGGGAAAAGGGTTTATATATATATGTATATATATATATATATGGCGAGTTCTACGGTACCCTGGGTAAAATTCGGGGTACCGCATACCTTGAATATGAAAACATTATCTAGACCTTGAACTGACCGATCTTTCGGACATAATACTATACTCTAACCCTTAAAGATCAAAATCTAGGTCTTAATTCTCCCAATCTTATACTCCAAGATCAATTTATTTAGAAACAATAATCGACGGTTATGATTCGTCCAAATATAGGCACAAAAAGGAATGCACCATCTTAGAGTTTATAGATTATGATTTAGATAATTAGGACCTAGGGTTCACTCATTAAGAGTTAGGGTATAGTATCATACCCAAAAATCCTTCTAATTCGAGGTTTAGATACCGTTTCCATACTCAAGGTATACGGTACCCCGGATTTCATCCGGGGTACAATAGAAGGCACCATATATATATATAGATAGATACGACTCGTATGCTCCAGACGCATAGCATGCTCCAGGTATCCCAATACCGTTGATCTAATCTAACGGTTATTATTAAGACTAATAAAAATAATTAATTATTAATAATTATAATTACTAACTACATCTTTTAAATAATTATACGTGTACTAAAGTCCCTCAACTATTTTAACCATCAATTTCTACAATATAGTCACTGGCTTTTTCAATCATTATTAAGAAGACCCAAACTCTGAACTATGTCTATATTTTTATCTATTAAGAATTGCTCGATCGCTTCCACCATGTCAAAGGCTATGGTTTCAAGTTTAATTGGGGAACTTTAAATATCTCATGTGGTTCATTATCATCATCATTCGACGTGTGTTTCATAATAATAAAATTGTCCCCATGGTTACGATTCCTCCCGGCGTTTAGTTACACTTCTTCTGTGTTTCCGACCTGCATCAACTTCCTCCGTGTCTACGCACCTCCAAGTTCATGGGTGACGACGAGAAAGTCGTATGCAACTTTGGAGATCGGATAATTGCAGTTGTCCCCCATTCTCTCAGCGGAATTTTCCTGGACGCCGGCCAGTAATGAAAAACGAAACAGAGAAACGTATGCAACGTTGGAGATAGGGTAATTGCAGTTGCCCCCCTTCTCTCAGCGGAATGGTCGTGGTCGCCGGCCGGAGCTGAAAAACGAAACCGAGAAACGTATGCAACGTTGGAGATTGGGTAATTGCAGTTGCCCCCCTTCTCGCAGCGGAATTGTCGTGGCCGCCGGCCGGAGTTGAAAAACGAAACAGAGAAACGGCAGAGGGAGATGTGGGGAAGAAGAAGAGTCACGCCTCTCTAAAACGGCGCCGTTCGTATAAAATGTCATAAATGATTGTAGGGTTTCGGCTGGATTAAAACGGCGTCGTTCGTATAGAATGTCATAAACGATTGTAGGGTTTCGGTCGGAGGAAAATATAAAATGCATGGAGTATCGAACCGCCGACCTAGTCATTGTAAGACTAAATTTTCACCATCTATAATACAAAGTTTGTTTGATTTAGTTGACGTAACTCCTTAATAATAGCATAAAAGATTATTCTTCCAGCAAATTAAGCTTCGCCTCACCATTCAGCTCCATCGTCATTGTCGCCGGTTCCCAGCTCCAGCTGCGTCTCTCGCCATTTCGCTCTGTTTCCCGGTCTGTTTGATATCTCCCGAATTATACTAGATGCCTTCGCTCATGTTCATAAGCTTTTACGTACCATAGATACACCTATGTAATATGAAACAATTATAGAGTGTAATTGAAAAATAAAAAAAATCCTTTAATTGTGATTTTGTTGTATGTACTATATACAAATGAATTCACCATGAAATGAAATGTTGTATTCTTCTATGAATTACTTTACACGAATTGGCTTATTATACTCACGGCGTATGGAACTATCAATAGTTAACTACTTGAGTGGAGAAACTTATATGACATTTGGTATTGATTCATTTCGGCAATCTATGATTCATACTTGGGCCGCTTCAATCTAATGACGAATCATGTTCAATTATGCATACATACTCATATAATATAAGAAAATATGATTAAATATGCTTTGATCCTTTGGTTTTCACCACAAATTCCATATTTTTTTCAACTTGTTTATTAATCTTGTTCACTTACTCCCCTCTCAATTTTCTAATGATGATTCATACATAGTTCTCGAGGTTTTTCCCCTTACATCTCCATCTTCTCCTCTCCAACTCAATAAGTGAGATGGGGAACGAAGGTAAAACATAACACATCCCCAACTTCCTTTGAATTAGGATTCATTTCTTGTTGCAAATATTCACTTGTAGCATACCATATATACATGCTAACTTCCCTACTAGTCACTAGAAGTATTTCCGTTAGTCTCCATTAACAACATCATTTTTTTTGTTGATGTGGCTAACAAAACTGACAAGCCAGCCAAATTTTACACACCACATCATAAAACCGAACTCGACACGTCAATAACCCAAACTTGCAACCCGACCCTTTCTTTTTTACTACGAATATGTAAGAGTAAGGAAAAACTATTTCTAGATAATGTAAAGAGATAACATAGAGAGCAACCGTGAGGCAAAGAGGAAGGAAAAGAATAATCATCATGCGGCGGGGTGCACAAGAAACTATTTCAGTATCTACACATATTTCTCTTCTTTTGACCTCTCTAAGATGATTTTTTATGCCAAATAAATTTTGCGGCTCTATCTTTTAATTATTTAGACTCAAGTATTCATTTTACTATATTTATAATTCATTTATGAAGTATTTTCTCTATGTATTATGTAAAAGAGTTAAATGTCCTTCTTTTTTAGATAACATATAAGAGTAGGTCGAACTGTCCCGCAGGAGTATAACCCAACCTGTCCTGCACTTAATTCGGAGTAAGTGAGGTACCTCGTTTGGCTTCAACCTTAACAGTAGCTAAACGGATAGTCTTCAACCTATACGTCCTAAGTTCGAAAGTCTTAAGTTCAACCTGTATGATAGTAACCCCGTAGATTCGTAACCCAACCCATGTTACAATTATTGTACCGAGTTTCATACCCCAAACATATTTAATATGAATAACATATTAGCATTTTGTGTAGCTCATAAGGAATAACGTCTTCAACTTTGTTCGGTAAATGTTTACTCAAATGTATTTACCTTATCAACATATTAGCATTTTGTGTAGCTTATAAGGAATAACGTCTTCAACTTTGTTCGGTAAATGTTTACTCAAATGTATTTACCTTATCCAACATGATCACAAACAAATCGTAAGATGCTAACTTTCTCGAATAATTTGAATTTTCTATTTAAAAAACCAAAGTATATTGGTCGGATGATTAAACCGACTAAACCTTAACCACCCGACTATCAAAGTTGGGGTGAAATTGGAAAGAAGTAATTAGTAATTACATTTAAGATTCCCTCCACATTTATAAAAAAAAAATTTCCCTCCACATGTTCGTTAAAAGCGGAAAGGAGACAAAATTGGATATTTTTGAATTTCACTCTTCCATTTTCGCAAAATCATTTGTTTTATCCGCCAAAATCATTTGAAATTAGAAAAAAAAACGGGAGTCAGAAAATCAAAACATTAAAATTCTCCCTCTTGTTTTTTCAGAAACCCTGTTTTTATCCGCCAAAACAAAATTTCATTTCTTCGCAACCCTTCCCATCCCACTGAAGCTGAAGAGCACAGTTTCATTCTCTCTTTCCATTAATCGTTTGATGTTTCTGGAAAATCTGGTCGATTTGGGGTCTTCGAAGATGGTCAACTTTGCCGGCGGGCGAAGGTGTGGCCTTGTCGATGAGCACGCGAAGCTTCAGATCTACGGTTTCTGGGATCTATGGCGCATGCATATCGCATTATGAATCACTCGAAGAAGGTAAGATTCTGAATCTCTGCACTTCCCTCGCCCCCGATTACGCTTTGATTCACTGAAACGGCGATTGGTTCAGGTTCATGCTCTGGTGGTGAGCAACGAAACGGCGATTGAAGCTGGGATCAGAGATGAGGGAGTTCCACAGCTTGCAGACGGGTTTGCAGAGGAAGGCGGATCTCGACGAGGAGGTCGTCTCCGAGTTTACTGATGGCGGATCTCGACGAGGAGGTCGTCTCCGAGTTTACTGATGGCGGAAGGAGGGTTTCCTTCTGAACGGATTCGTCGCCGTTTTCTGGGGGCGGGACGGTGGAAGAGCTCGCTTAACGGCAGATCCCATTCCACGTTGCAGTTGTCGGAGACCATGGCGATAGACAAACAGACGGATTGAGGAAAGATAACTACGATGCCGGCGCCGGGGGAGAAAAGATGCGGTAGTATACGAGCTCGGGTGACGACGGAGAAGGCTTTGATTCACTGAAAGTACCCATTACACGCAAGAAAGATTCCTTCCAAAAACATAGAGAGGAAGAGGAGGCAAAGAAAAAGGTATGTGTTCTTGTTTTGTCTAATCTTGGGCAGGTTTGCTTTCTGTTCATAGAGAAATTCAAGCTACATTCATGACCGGTTGTTGTATGTTCCATCTCGTCTTATTTTAAGCGGAGGGCTGAGGATGGAACGGATCGATTATATGCATAGTTCGTGGATTATTCCAAGGGGACACAACTCCTGGCTCAAAGACTGTTGTTAGGGGCAGACTGATCAATCCCAATGACAAAGTGAAGTATGATTCTCAAGTTTAGTCTGTATTACTTCACTATCCTTCGTAGAAGTTTATTTCCACTGTTATGTCCCGTCTATGCCCATTTGACAGTATGGATGCATGAAATCTTTTTCTTCTATTATTTAAAACATGTAGATTTATATGTTGATTCCTTGTTTCTGTATGTCTCTACATGTTTCATATATGTGACTGAGGGAGGAGGATGAACATGAATTAAGGTGGTAAGTGAATCAGTTAACAATTTTGCTGCCATGAGCAATTGCCAGAGGGTGCTTAATGATTTGTGGGTTTAATTAAACTAATTTCAGGGCAGGAGGATTACAACAGGTTGAGGCCACTGAGCTACAGAGGAGCTGATGTGTTCCTACTGGCTTTCTCCCTCACCAGCAGAGCTAGCTACGAGAACATTCACAAGAAGGTACCCTGATTTCTCACGCTCTCGATCCACTTTTGGTTTTTTTTTTCATATTGGAATACGGTTTCTGTTCTTGAGATGATGATGAGCTGCTGCTATAGTGGATTCCCGAACTGAGGCATTATGCAGCAAATGTGCCCATTTTTCTAGTGGGAACCAAACTAGGTAAAGCCAACTACATTGTTGGCTCACCTGTATTAGTTTATCATAAGTTTACTATAGTGGAATGAAGTAAAATACTTGATTTGGGTTCATGTGTTGCAGATCAAAGAGAAGACGAACAGTACTTAATTGATCACCTTGGAGCAGCTCCCATCATTACAGCACAGGGAGAAGAACTGAAGAAAATGGTTCTTATCCAGATCCTTCAACAAAGTGTTCTTTTGAAGTACAAGTGAGTTACTTTGCTGTCTTTTTGGTTGGATGCGTCAAATAAATACTTAATGGGGTATTATTGATTATATTCTATCATTTTGATTTGTAAAGTGTCGGTACTTGTGGTAGAAGTCAGCTGCTACAACAAACTATTTATGTCAATTGATCTCCACCTGCCAATGGTATATCATTGTCTTATAAGTAGTTGCCTCAAATTGTAGGTACGCCATTTCCTTTTTAAAAGATCATGGCAAAGAGGTGTGTATTGAAGTTCACAGTGCATACATCTACACAATGAACAAGGTGAACTATTTTGTCTTGTATATTTTGGAGGGTCATGGTACCTGTTCTTGTATAGTTGCAATGGGGCAAGCAGGTTCTTTAGTTTTGATTCCCTAGCTCTGAGTTCTGCAGGTTCTAATTGCACATTTCTGTGCATACATTCACGCGTTGGAGAACTTGCAGTTATATTTATAGCGACTTCTAGTGATTTGATTGGTGTGGAGACCAGAAGTGCTGGTTTGTTTTCGAGAGCCAGAGAGCCGCTGAAGAATCGATAAGCTGTTTTTTGCTTTGGGAGATAGGATTAACAACTTGAAGGTTTATATACTTCTATCTAGTTTTCTCTCCTGACCAAGTCCCTCTTTGGGTGATTTGGGGACCCTTCCAGCTGATGGTGCTTTCATCCTTGTCATTGTTGTCGGTCTGAATTTCTTAACAGGTTTAATTTATTTTTTAGGTTGGACAAAGGTGTGATTGTATATGGAGAACCCACATTTGGCAAAGGGTAGGCATATGCTCGCTTTAGCTCTAGCTTGGTAGTTTCTTTGTGTCAAATACTTGATTTGGGTTCATGTGTTGCAGATCAAGGAGAAGACGAACAGTACTTAATTGATCACCCTGGAGCAGCTCCCATCACGACAGCACAAGGAGAAGAACTGAAGAAAGTGGTTGGTGTTGTGCCTTACATTGAGTGCAGCTCCAAAACTCAGCAGGTTCGTATATTTATCAGCATGTTAATCAAGAAAAAAGAAGGCATATTAATATGTAGCATAAACTGCAGCAGCATCCATCCATTTATGAATGAAGACTGTGTTTGATAGTGTTGTTTTGTGAATCAGAATGTGAAGATGGTGTTTGATGCCGCGATAAAGATAGTTTTGCGACCACAAAAGTCGAGGAGGAAGCCTCGCAGGCAAAGGACATGCACCACCCTTCAGAATCAGCAAGATCTAGTTGTCGAGGTATCGCCAGAGTCAAACTGGTTCTAAGGAATACAAGACACGTGCTGCAGTTGGTGTAAGTTTTTCTCAACCCCTATTACATATCAATCTGGTCCCTATGTTGGATCAGTCTACTTATGTTAGATAAATTATGGTATAAATTTAATAACCAATCATATGCATATCAATCTCAGGCACCTCAAAGAGAAGATGAAGAAGACAACGTCATTAAAATCAAAGTAGCCTTGCAAAAAATGCACGAGGTATGTCCTTGAATAACTAAGAACTCATTTCCAACTCTCTATGTTCGTCAAACCAAAAAATAAACCGTCAAAGGCTGCACTTGTTGTAAATCAACCAAGCTAAAAGATTCTGTCCCATCAATTTCAATGAACAAATAACAAAAACTGAGTGCTTTTCAACTCCTTGCTCTGGATGATGTTCAACTTCTTGCCCTGTCTGTGTTGTTCAACTTCTTGCCATGTCCCCTCTTCTAAAACATAAAAAACAAGATAGAAGAATATTGAAACTGTAACTTTTAGCAAAGGTTCTCATACAATATATACATTAGGCAAGAAACGAACACCGAAAATGTAAAATCCATAAAGGCTTTCATTTAATTCCAATACGATGCAATATATTAATTTAACAAAAAACAAACCTGTTGAGCTTTTTGAGTTTGACTTTCTGAATACTTAGTGGAAGGTTCAACACTATGTCTCGTATGCTGCTTAGCTCCCTTCTCTTGTCGACTAGGCATAGTATTACTCCTAGTACGTGCCCCGATCTGTCACAGGAGGACAACTTAACTCTTAAGCTAATAGCTGCTTCAAACAAATTGACAATTTGGTGAATAAACCAATGCTACTTAACCTTCTGTGGTGGCTGACTTTTTCCTACGGATTCTACAGTTGTATTATGCCTACTGGTTCGCTGGTTCTGTAAAACCAAAATAACAACTTTAATTTATTGACTCTAATAATTATATCAAGAACACATAATCAGAGATGCTAATTACCTTTGGGGGTTGACCACCTTGGTCATCATCTTCTTCATCATCGTCTCCATCTTCTGCATCATCTCTATCATCGTCCCCATCATCGTCCATGTCATCATCTTCATCCTCATCCTCCTCATCTGACTGAGATTCTATCACGTCGGCTGGGGGGTTAGTACAAGTGCTCCTATAATGTCCATCCCTTAGCCCGCAGTTTCCACACTTTCTTCTTTTTTTCTTAAGCTGTTTTTTCCCTTTTCCTTTCCTACAGCCCTTAAACCTCACTTGTTTAGGATTCAATACACCTTTGAACTTGTCGGGTATGACAATCCTTTCTCTCTCGGCGGGGGTTTTCTTTTGCATCTCCAACTTGTTGCATGCTGCTGTCAACTCCCCCTGAGCCAGACGATAAGAGTCAGGAGACTCTGCCCCCAATAAGCAGAATCGCATAGTGGAGAACTGTAGTGACCCGTACCTAATACTGAAACTGCTGTCATCCCCCAATGAAATGGGTTTTGGAAGAGTGGTTAATGACTTAGGGTTCTTTGAGCAACGTCGGAGTACAAGTTTTTCAGGAAAACTCTTCACCCTTTCTTCTTTCAGAACAAAGATCATATGAGCGCACGGTATTCCAATACTCTTAAACATTTCACAACTGCACTCCAAATCTTTCGTTTCAATGTTGTACTTCACCTCCACGGCCTTCTCTTTGTTGAACATGGTTACAGTGTAGGTGTGTAAATTCCCCTCTTCAGTTTGCTTATCCTTTATGACTCCAATAACCTGCTCCAGCTCAGCTTTGAATTTTATAAATGCAGCTTTTGAAAAAAGCTTCGCTGCACTTTGTTCGAGGGGCAATAGGATTGTGTTCTTTACCGGAACTAAACCATAATTAGACTCAAAGTCTAATCTAACCTCTGTCTCCCTCATGTCCCTGATCCATCGGTCGTATTGAATAAAAAAGTCGAGCAAACTGATCCTCTCATGTCCATACCTAGCAACAACTGCATTCATGCTTTCACATCTTGATGTGGTTTTCAACCCAGCAAAAAAGTGGGAGCGCAAGTATGTGTCCGCCCATTCATTACGTCTCCCATATAGGTTTTTCGACACCCATTGGTTGTTCTGGAGTTCACATTCCTCTACCAATGCATTCCACTTCCTCAAATTCACCTGGCTCGTAATCAGCAGTTACAAAGTGACTCCATCGGGGTTCAAAGTCTGGTCGGTTCTTCACCCTGCTAGTGATATTCTTGGACAAATGCCAAGCACATAGCCGATGTGTTGCATTTGGGAACACATTAGCAATAGCCTTCCTCATTGCTTTATCCCCATCTGTGACAACTGTATGTAGCGGATTTCCCCCCAACATTTCCTTCACTATATTCAACGCCCAAGTATAGGTTTCTTCAGTCTCGTTAGGCAACCAGGCACTCCCAAATAAGCAAGATTTGAAATGATGATTGATACCTGCATGGTCAACCAGAAACTCGGAAAAATCAGAAACTTTTGTTACTTTCAGTGATATTAAACACGAGTCTGAAGCCCACAATAAATTTTCAGTTTGGTGTACATTAAACCTGCTGATCTCTCCTGATTCTTTGTTGCATTTTCAGTTTGTTCTAATGAAGTTCATATTATTGACATTTCTCACTTAATATATTCGTCACTAATTAATGGCTCTACCTATCTGCTCAAAGCATTTACCTAATTACTCTCTTGTTAAACCTCTTCCAAAATTTGTTGCTTCCACTGGCCTCACTTCCCCAAATTTAAAAAGCTTATTAACATGGAAGGACCTGCTCAACTGCACCAGCTCTATAATAACACCCTGACCATTCACCATAACACATGAGAAAATCCAATTCCATTCAAAAATTTCCAATCATTTGAAGGAGGAAACAGAACATCAAAACCAACCGATCATTTCAACAATTTGTATCTTAGTTAGCAGTTTATGCTACTGTTTTCTGGATGACATTATGTGTCTTCAAAACATAAAGAAAAGGGTAATGTTAAGAGGGCATATTAGAATGACGTACCTGTGAAAATAACCAACGGCATATTGTAAATGTTTTTTTGTACGTTGTGTCAAATGCGAGCAACTCTCCAAAACATGAAATGTCTGCTAGGCTAATGCTGTCAGCCCAAAATAAACTATGGAGCGCGTTTTCCTCTGTAGTGTATCGGAGGAGGAAGTGTGGGTCTGTGCTTTTCTTTGATTCTAGATAGGCAAGTGCCGTTGCTGCATCACCCTCGCTGATCCTTTCAGCACGATCTCTGGTGCAGAAGTTTAACCCATCTCTGACTGTATAGCCAAGTTTGTCATGCCCTCCAGCACTATGCACAGCTAGCTTAATCGCTTGGGATGGTTTCATCCCGGCATCCTTTTTAAATCGAAGGTCTGCCTTGTCTGCTTCTGTTAACCCTCGATGCGATCGCAAGTGGTGTGTCCATTTCTGCAGTAGTGGTTCATGAGTGTGCTGTTGGATAAATATATCCACAATCCACTTCGAATCTTCATTATTTAACTTCACACGAAACTTAGCTTTGCATTCAAATCTAGTTAGCATGGGCGACTCTCTCTTTTGTTCGCCTTTGTGTGGGTTTCTATGTCCCTCACAGGAACAGAGAAAGGTTGCGCTTGTAATCTCACGCTTACTGTTCCGGACTGTCTTCGACCGCCTAACAGAAAAACCCCATTCCTTTGCATAGTTGTTGTAGAACGTATATGCTTCCTCTATATTATTGAATACCTGACCGATAAAAGGTGGATTTGGAATAACAACTTCTGGTACAGTCTCTTCTGCAGTAGGACCAGCAGCGTTTGTGGTCCCTGTTTCTTGTAAGATTTCAACGTCACTGTCCTCCATGTTGTTGTTATGATCTCCATCTTCCTCCATTGTTTTGTACCTTTAAGTTTCTTCTAGTTTGGGGGATCGGCAGGAATGAAGAGAAGCAATTGTTTGATCGTTAGTCCTTCTAGGTTTATTTATATTAGGTGTATGTGTGCTATTTTAAATACATGAAGGGATAGGTTATTTTCTCAAGGGCTCGGTTATAAGGGCCTTAATGGGCTTAAAATTCTGTCCATCTTTAAGAGTTCTTTCATGTTAGGCTTCGTTGTGCTATTTACATCAGTATTTATGGGAAAAAGGATTTTATTAACCAATCCTCTTTTGGTGGTGTTATTGCTGGTGGTGGTTTGTGGTTGAGCAGCTTGCTTTCTTGCTTCTGTATGCTTCTGGTGGTGGTTTGTGGTTGAGCAGCTTGCGTCTGACACATATATCGTGGGTGTTTTAACAGGAAGATGAGTTGACGGGCTCAATCGCTGCATGCAAGGTAGAATCTGATGTTCTGGGCACGTGGGTTAACTTCTTGGAGGACACTTGGGTTCTCCAGCGCTCCTATGTGGATTCTCTATCTGAGGTTTTGTGTTCGCCGTTTTGTTTTTTCCCCTTGTTTCAAAGTGATGAGCTGGAGAAACATGAGGAGTACTTCACGAACTTGGCCGTCAATCTTCTATCTGATTACAAGGTATCATTGCTGTGTATTTTGGGGTTGTACAGCTTAAAACTTCAAATGGAACTGATGTTGATGATAGCCTGCTTCTTTTATATTCTTTTCATGCTTCTGACCATGAGTTCCCCTTGTTATGCAGAAAGAATTGGAACCTTCTATTGGCCGCATTGGTACATATGTTGAGAAACTGAAGAAATTGAGTCCAGGGTAATCTACTTCGTCTCTTTAGGTTGAGTTTTCTGATATCACTCAAACGTCATGTACTCGTATATGGCCTAAAGGAAGACAAGGACTGGAATTTTGCTCTCGCTTGTTTTATTCTTTTTTATTTGAACAATGCAGGTCAGAGGTAGCAGCCAGTGCAGATAATCAGGATTCTCAAGTAATTAGCCCGAGGCGACATCTTGAGGAAGAATATATGGACTATGAAGCGAAGGTGAGTTGGTGCTTGTGTTTGGTTTCTTTTTGCTGATCCATACGTGTACAATTCCTAAAACACATTGGACTTTGGAGTTGAGTATGCCATTCATTCTCTCGTGTCAGATCGTGACCACCTTCAGTGTAGTGGATAACATGAGGGAGCAATTCTATGCTCAAAAAGGCGCAAGTTCAAGGTCTGATTTCCATTCACCATCACATAATGGCTGTTTCTTAACTAAATTTTGCTTGTCAAGCCTCTCAAGGCAGAGCCTAGTTCCCCAAAGCCACCTGCCGAGCTTCCCAAGAAACCAGCCACAAGTTTTGATCAATGTTTTCAAATATAATTACCATTGTTTCCAGGTTTGGTACAGTGCTTAGGGAGGGAGGGTTAGGTCAAGTTCAGAACAGTTGGCTCAACGAGTGCATCGCAAGGGGATTTTGAACCTTTCAGTTGTTATAACGAGTTTCCTTTGGACAAATCTTACTGTTGATAATATTAATAGGCTCTATCTATCGAGAGACGAAGTTGCATAACTGTTCTTTGTCTGGGTGGGATCAGAAGCCTGTATTAATAAGAACAGTTTGTTGTTGGCTAGAATCTCAATACTGATCAAGTAGCAGGAGAACGATGGGACACTCTGAGCATGGACTAGCTCTTGTCATAAACAGGATGCAAAGACCATTTTTAGGAGCTTTTCTGCTTGAGTTTTGTACTACCTTCTAAGTCATTTGTTCTTTTATTTCAGCACTAGCTCTTGATGCTGTTTCTGTGGCAGCTAAGACATTGTTTAGCAGTATTGATTATTGAACAAGAAACAAGCTCTAGTCTATGATTCTCTGATAACTAAGACACATTGTTCAGTAATAGACAGTAAGATCACTCATCATTCATGTATCCAGAGAACTCGTCCGACAGCAACATGTGTTGGCATGCACCTAAGCTTCTCACTTGTCTATGTTCTACAAAGCAAATAGGTTTGAGCTTAACCAACAACAAACACAAATCATGCAGAAACTTAAATGACAGAATGCAACAAACTAAATGAAAAGAAACATGAAATGGAATTCAATAACAAACATTGCCTAAAGTACTTGTTGTGTAGTATAAATAGAAATAGTTTGTTCTCAAACTGAACAATGGGCAATGTACCAAAATAAGTGAAAATCCAAAAAAAAATTAAACATAAGCATCACCACCAAAACGCTCAAGAACTCCGAAAACGCATACTTAACTAGTTCATCAACATCCAAAAAAACTTAAAAATATGCATCTCCACGCATGACTGCCATGTCCTTGAGTATCATATTTTTCCATGCCGTCGAGTGTTCATGAGCATGTCGATTCACTTTCTCCAACTTAGCATTCTGAGGCCCACCAACCAAGTCAAGAGCTAGCCTCATTCGATCCACATCGCCACATGGCTGTGCACAGAAGATGAAACCAAGTAAACATTTAAAAACAAAACTTGCCATTCAATTGTGAAACAAATATCATTACAGAACAAGATCCCTTACCCCAACATCATAGCGTGCCAGATTATCTAAGAACCTCATCCATAAGCAAACCCACATGCCACCATCAAATCTAATACAAATAGCTACTTCATAAGTTTATGTTAAAACAAAAGTTTCATAGTGATATCCAAGAATTGCGTTATCCCTTACTTGTTTTCTTGTGTAGGAACCCCATCTGGACTAATCACTTGAAAGCCACGGATGTTTGGCAGATCCTTTGTTGTACCCAATTCAAAGTACAACCTCCGAAATAAATCATATAAAAAATTCATCTGCAAAATCATCTAAAGATTACTCAATCGAAGAAGAAGGAATATAAAATATATGAATTATAAAACTACACTAGTTTGCTAACCATATGGCGTACGGTCTTTGCACGAAACTCATTGTTGTTTGCCCTAGGAGCAGAGTCAACCAAATGAACTTCTTCTAATTCCATCATCACCACAGCCAGGTACCAATGCTTACCATCCTTCAATGGTAGATAGATCTGCCAAATATTGACATAAAGATTATTACCATTTAGCAAAAAAATGGGAAAACATCTACACATTACTGATTGAATTGTTAATGAGTTACCTTATTGCATCCATAAGCATTGCGTAAGTAGCTAAATCGATAATCATTGAATACACTGTCAGCAGTATAGACATACTTCTCTAATCCTGCCTACAAGTTCAAATTTGGAATTTAATAAGTGAAAATCATTATGTATAAAGGACAAATCTAAAAAATTATTACTAGTGATCCATATTTGATTACCTGTATATCAGTAGGGAGAAAGCACGATTTGCTTTCAATTCTACGTTGCTTATCATACATGACAGAGAGGTTGAGATACCATGCATACATTGAAATGACCTTAAAAAACAGACAACATAATTATTTTAATGGATATTTAAAACATATACAAAAAATTAAAGATAGAATGTACCTCATCTTCTAGGTACTCGTTAGGCAGCAAGCTCAACAGTGAGCTACGAGTACAGGACTGGGAACCATTTTTTACTAGTATCTTTTCGGGAGCAAGATCTTCCACGAACATGTAATAGGCCAGTCCAACCTCTTCTGAAGTCAAATGCATGTTACTGGTGATAGGAAACTTCATTACAACCTGACACAAAAAGTCAAATACTATAAAATCTGATATGCTGCCTAATACTAAGCATTTATGTAACAGTACCACGACTACCTCAGATATGGTTGTCACATCAGGCTCGTCATCATCAATGATAATGACTTCAGAAATTGGTGTCGCATTGACGTCTCTGAACTCAAGCCTCCTCTTTGTAAGGTTGCGGGAACCACTCTGTCAATTTTTAGCAAAGGATAATAAAGAAAACTTGGTATAAAGTCTAATTAGTAATTTTTAATGTGGGTCACTACCACTGTATTATCATTACAGGATAAAAGAGATATACAAATCAAGGATAATTGTATTTGAACGAAACCTAAACAAAATTAGAAGATTAGCAAGAAAGCTAATGAGCGACAACCTAAGAAAACAAGACAATGACCCACCAAACTAGATGACAAAGCAATGAACAAAAAACAAAAACAAAAACAAACGATGATAAGCCAAAAGCAATCAAACCATGAACATAAAAACCAGAAAAACTAGATGACAAAACAATGAACAAACAAACCGACAATACTAATAGTGAGCGACAACTACGCAACCAGAAACAACCAAACCATGTGAAAAAAAGCAGAAAACAGTATGATTAAAGGTGTGTAGAACATAAAGGAAGAAAAAAAAAAAAAATAAACTCTTCAACTTCTCAAACCTTGCGTTGTGAAGAATATTTCGTCATTTTTGCTCTACTTTCATCATCTATACCTTTAGCCAGCCTCTTGTCCCTAATTTCAATTTTCATACAAACAATTATCAGCAATAATAAACACAAATAAATCTGGGCAACGATGGATTAGAACTAACACAACAGGAGCAGAAGAGAATCGTGAAGGAGGTAAAATAGCAATGGCCATTACCCAATTTTTGGATCCATGGTTCGGTAGAACTTTCACTAAGAGGAGAACACGGTGGAAAAACTGCAAAACAGAATTTTATATAGGTTTGTGTAAAAGCCAGCAGCTAATCTAACCACATAAAGCCGAAACATCAATAAAATTGAGAAATTGGATGATAACTATCTAACAACAGCAGAGGGAACCTTAGTCGCCTAACACAGCTGGAAAGCAAGGTTGAGAATATCGCGGAAAAAAGAAGAAGGCAAAAACACTTATAAAGAAGGCAAAATAATGGGGTATTCATCCAAATAAAGGAACTTCCTCTTTCTCTAACTAAACAGGCTTACTAATTAAATGATCTTTCCTTTTATTTTGCAACCATGCACCAGTTACCTTATACGCACCAATTACCTTATCAGCATCATCATCATCGCACTTCTTCTGACCTTTATGCTAGCTCATGGCGCTGATCTCCACCCCACCACTCTGGTTGGTACCTTGCTAACAGAAATATCTTCTGCTATGGCTCTGTATTAATTCGATTCTGACTGCAGGGAGATGGTGACGAGAGCTTGGGAGAGAGATGTGAAGAGGGCGTTGGAGAAGAAGGTGAAGAGTGCTTGACCAGAAGAACCCTCCAGGCCCATCTTGATTACACCCCACCTCCCACCTCCCCTTCCCCTAGCCAGCCCTGATGTCCCAATTATCTGTGCTTTTCTTTCTTTCTTTCTCCCCTTTCAAGCAAAAGGAAGAGCATGATTGATTGCACCCAAGTTATATAGTTAACAATAAGAGGAGAAAGTATTTTCAATTAGCACATGGCAAGACATGGATGTTCATGATTAGCTCGAGGTCTGCAACAAAAGTGCCTCTGCTAATGATGAATTCCCACAGACTTGAGGGAGAAAGCTTCAAAAATTCTTCTTACACAAATCCTCTGCTAACTTTGTGTGGCTTCCATCAATTTTACAACTGTACGCCTAGTCTCCTAACAAACTAGCTCGTAGCTAGCTAGCTAACGGCATCTGTGACATCCTGATCTTTCTATTCTGATCCAAGCAAAGCAATCTCCACAAACTGCGGTATGATACACAATCCTACATACCACACCAGTCGTCTAGATGAAGAAACGGGGAATGCAGCATTCACATGTTCGAAACCATAAAAATGAAATGGCATAGAAATGAAACCCTGAGCTTGGATCATGTACTAACAATCAAGGAATGTATACGAGAGAAAGAGAGAAAGAGATAAAGAGAGAGAGAGGTACATACAAATGCTACTTGGTTTTATCTTCATTGGCAATAACGTGGTTTCATATCAATAGATGAGTTCCCAATCACAACTTTTTCAAGCAGGCAACATCACCCTGGCGCCGCCCACAACATGTAAATACAATGTCAGGCAAATGGTAACAATAACATAAGACTTAGCACCAACATATCGAACAACCTGAAGCCCTCTTTCTACTACCCCATCATGAACCACATCAGCACCTCTCTTCAAACCATCCCACAACTTCCACAACTAGATACGAGAAATTTCTTCTGAGATTCAAAAGAGAGAGGGAAAAGATTGGGGAAAATCAAACCTTTCGGGGCAGGCGGCGGCGGGGGAGCTTAGCAATCGACTCCATTGTCGCCAAACACACCTCCGATTGCAATCCCGACCACTGTTCCGGTCGATATCGACGAGTTGGAGGGAGGAGAGGAAGAGTCACAACTTCCACAATTAGATACGAGAAATTTCTTCTGGGATTCAAAAGAGAGAGGGAAAAGATTGGGAAAAATCAAACCTTTCGGGGCAGGCGGCGGCGGCGGAGCTTAGCAATCGACTCCATTGTCGCCAAATACACCTCCGATTGCAATCCCGACCACTGTTCCGGTCGATATCGACGAGTTGGAGGGAGGAGAGGAAGAGTTTGGCGTCGAACCCCAGGAAGGTGGCGGCGGCGGAGGAGCGTAGCAACCGACTCCATTGTCACCAAATACACCTCCAATTGCAATCCCGACTACCGTTTCGGTCGATGTCGACGAATTGGAGGGAGGAGAGGAAGAGTTCGGCGTCAAATCGCCGGAAGATGATGGCGGCGAGCGGGAGGACGGAGGTGTGCGGATAAGGGGTAGACGACGTAATCAGCATCAGCGTGGAAGGGGTGACCGGGACGGGGGTAGACGGCGGGTTCGACGATGGTGAACATGAGAGGAGAGGGTTCGACGATGGGTGTATGGGTGGGGAAGTTCATGTTGAAATGCTAGAGATGTTTTAATTTTCTTATTTGAGCCTGTTATAGATGTTGAAGTGACGATGTAAAGTTTTGGGATGGTTTTTGTTTTTGATTGAAATGTTTTGGATGTGTAACTTATGATTAAAAGAAATTAGGTATTGTACCATGAAAATAAATGAAATAATTTGTTGGGGGATTAAAGTAAACGTATGAAAATGTAAAAGAATCAACTAAACAATTTTAATTTGTAAATTATAAATAAATTTATTATATTTAATACAGGCCATCAGATTAAATCAACGGTGCAAAGATCTGGAGCATGCTATGCGTCTGGACCATACGAGTGTGACCCATATATATATATATATTATTTATATATATTATTTATATATAATTAATACGTATACTTATCCGATCGATCGATAATCCGATTTTCGTCGAAATAGTGCCGAAATGCTCGATTTTAAATCGCAAACTTTCTAGCGATCGAAATATGGGTTTTGCCGGAACGGGATGTTACAATTCTCCCCTCCTTAAAAATATTTCGTCCCCGAAATCTAACCTTGAGTTGATACTACGCATCCGCTCGTTCTCCTCCTGGCAGACACTATCACATATATTGTTACTACCTAACTCTTAGGTTAGGAGATCTGAAGTACATAACTAAACACATAGCACCTCAAGTTCCCAATATAAGGTTTCAAAAACCTACACTGGGCTATCACAACAAAACACATCAACAAGTTCAAAAGCATAATTCACTAAACCAAGTTATTAACCTGCAAGGTAGATTGCCACTAACACAAGGTTATATGAACCTACAAAATGGTTACCACAACATCATCAAGATTCATATCTCTATTCAAATATCTACCATCACAACTCATCATGTTAGCACAGCCTAAACCCAACTGCATTGCATAGCTAGCCACCATGCTTCTCGATCAGTTAGTAGTAACACTAATAGTACTTCTGTGCAAACTACAAGGAAATATTGGCCTTATCTTGATCCACACACCATTAAACTTTCTCCAAAATAATAACTTGTAAAACAAGATTAAAACTCCACATAATTTTCAAAAAAAAATTTTAAACCATAACTTTTTTTTTATTCTTTCCAATGCTCAAAATCATACTTAACCAATGCAACTGACTATGCAACACATCATCACATATGGTCTCAATACCTGGCAAGTTTAGTGCAACTACAGGTATGGAGTACTCCCTCCCCTTACGAGGGTGATCAGTCCTCAAGAGTGAAAGTAACATACCCATAATGCAGAAAACAAACCAGCTCTGATACCAAACTGTAACACCCTACCCTGTACGTATTACCTAATCATATTGTTCATACAATTGCAGCGGAATTTATCTCGGGTGTTACATTAATTATCAAAATTTACCCAAATAAAATTTTGACATGAATTACTCGCGTAATGGGCTAACAATTCTTGCAACTTATCCTGCAAAATCATTCATCACAAACATATATACTCACAACCATATGCATTGGCTTTTCATAGCCATAGTCACACTTTCGTACTCTGCAACTACATACCATACTTATACAAGTCATAATCGTCACGACTTACACCACCACACACATATACACATATAATCAACTTTCCACACCTGTGGATATCTCACAATACATCAAAAGGAAATATGCACATGAAAATGTTCTGAAAACATTTTATACAAAAAGGTGTGGATCACTGGCCAAAACCCCAAGTAGTAGACCAAGCACAGAATAGTTGAAGACCATACCTCATCCTGGCTTCAACTCTAGCTCCTCTCCCACCTAACACTTATCTACTGCTGCTGCTGATGATCTGCTTACACATAGCATAAGCAGAGAAGAAGAATAAAAGAGGGTCAGCTCATAGCTGAGTGAGATAATCATAGCATCGTGAGTTCATAACATAGCATACCACTACCATACATCTAACAGACAAGCCAAAGCACTAGGATTGGATCTCAGCCCTCCGACATCCCAATAGGCAAAAGACTCAATCACCTTGACTTATGCATATGCATCTTATCATGTTTTACTTATAGGCGCCTGGCTACTCCCATGCTAATAACTCTCCCGGGAAACATACCCCACATCCCGTCGGATGTAGTCATACATACCCCACACCACTATGGGTGTAGTCATACCCCGACACCGCTCTGGGTGTGGTCATATCTCGTAAGAATTCTTCAGTCACCACCACATGAGAGGTGTGACTATCATACATATCATAATAGAGTAATAGCATAGGGAGCCCTAATTACTATGTAGTTGACCGTGAGACCACAACACTCATATTTGGTATCCTTATACATGATTCATATCTCATCTTGCTTAATCATAATTCGTTACTTCAACATGTACTTGACCTGACCATAATTGGCTCAACATAGGTAAATCAGGAGTCGTATAGTGGCACTTCCTCGGGATAAACCCTCGTGCAAGTCATCCTCCTTAAAACATCATAATATCACCAGGGAATATATATTTTCCCACTTGTGCATCCAAATACAACAATCATGAAAAATCATACCTAATCACCTTCTCGAACCATCGTAAAGCATATTAACAGTCAAGCCCACAATTTGCAACATATACACAATCATCAGCATAAACAAGGTTCATATCGATTAGGGCAAGTCAATAATATCATACAGCAATCCAGGGTTCAACATATAGCACAAAAGTTCATACACCCCTAATCATGTCATTCTAGTTCACCTAGATCAATTCTAAGCATCAATATAATCATCGTGATACGACAAACCCGGTATGCCGTGCTAATCCCTCACCAGTTCTGGTCGTTCAAACACCGGTTCTAGCCTCCCGTACTAAAACGTCAATTTCACGAACGAACCCCGAATTAAAATCCGAGACCGTCCTAATATCCCCTGCAGTATCCCCGTCAATATTAGTTCTAGGCTCTGGGTTAAATTCTTGATAAAAACACATCAAACCCTGGCCGGAGCTAAATTCAGCGATCCCGGCTCCGACCTAAATAATAGCCGAAATTCAGGGATTAGAACTAGAGGATTGATTACCTCGCTGCAGGAAGCTCGTATATGAAATTTGGGCTCAATTCGGCTTCCGGATACTCCGAAACCCTAATTTGGCTTATCGGAAATTCAAGAAATTCCTGAACCAAAATCTCGTTTTAAAGCTCTAAATCGATAAATCACGATGAATGGATGGATTAGGCATTACTTACGGGATTTTTGGATCACTAGGGCTCAAGATTGGAGCTTTGGAATTTTTCCACAGTCGCTCCCTGCACTTCGCTCGCTCTGCTTCTCTCTCGGTCCGAAATGGAAAAAATGACGATGGTGATGAGAATAAAAGGGACGGGGGAAAAGGGTTTATATATATGGCCGTCCGTTTAATATTATATATATATATAATACGTATACTTATCCGATCGATCGATAATCCGATTTTCGTCGAAATAGTGCCGAAATGCTCGATTTTAAATCGCGAACTTTCTAGCGATCAAAATATGGGTTTTTTCGGAACGGGATGTTACAGTTAATGCGTGCTTTCAATTCATGACACTAACCAGTCAAATCTCGAACAAGGGATGATAAACAACACTTTGTTAATTAAGTGTTATACGAACACCATAACAATGGTCCTTGGTTTTAATGACCTATTTTTAGAGCGAGTTCTTGACAACCTATATCAAGCATCAAACATATACATGAAAAGTTGCTTCCAATAAGATAATACATGCATAAGTCACCACATTCAACACAAGAGCAGGCTCCCAACAACTTAATAATAGTATTAAGCACAAAACCAAGATAACAAATGATAGAAGATGAAAACATCATAAACATATGATTAAATCATCGAAAGTAACACACAAAGCATGATAGGAATCACATCCTAAAAGGATTGAACTAAGGAAAACCATTCCATGGGGAAGAGAGAGAACTTCGAAAGAAATTTTGTAAATCCCTTTAGTTCGAGTGTGTAAGATTATTGGCAAAATACACTTGTACAGCCAAAACTTTGACAGTTTTGTCAAATATAGCCACTTTTGGAGAAATACCAAAAATAGCCACTTCTGTCCAATTCTTTGACGGTATGAGTTAACTTGCTGCCTAGACTAACGGAAAAGCTGACTTGTCAATTTTTTAGTCAATAAAATATGAGGTGGAATTAACTGAAAAAAATAAAAATAAAAAATTAACTATTTTTTGTTTTCTTTCTCTCCTTCCGTTCCCCCAACCACCAATTCAAAAACTTAATTAATTAATTTTTTTATATTTTCTCTCACCCTCCCTCTCATCTTTCCGTTCCCCCAACCGCCGTCCATGAGAGCTTTCGTTGGAAGAGGGAATTATATGGGTTGGCAAATAGGGAAAGAAGATAGATGAGGGCAGTTCTTAGTTCTGATTTTGAATTGGGTTGCCAATAGAGAAAGAAGACAGAAGAGGGAATTATATGGGTCAATTAATTGCTTCTTTCTTTTCTCGCATCAGAGGCTCTACAAAGAGGGGATTGGGTCTCGGCCAAATTGGGAGGGAATGGGAGGCCGACTATGGCCAGGCTTCACCGCGGTAAGGAATTTCGGAGCAGATATGAAGAGGGATGTGATGGCTGTGGTCGATGATGTGACGGCGGACTGGTGATGGTCGACGATTTGGAGGAAGAAGAAGAGATGTGGCAGAGGGACTTCGAATCGAGGCGGCGACAACGAAATAGACGACCTCCCTCTTCGTCAGTTTGGGACTTCTGGGTTTTGTAATGAATCGACTGCGACGACGAAGACGGGGATGACACG